AAAAAACAGCCCAGAAGAGGTTGGGTGGGGCCAGAAACTGGCTGGCTTTATGGAGAAAAATCCTTGGTGGGAGTAGGACAGGTGGTTGGCACTTACTAACCTTGGTCACCAAGAAGTGATTTCCTGGGGTGGGGGATTGGGAGCTCATAGAGCTGGGGTGGGAAGAGGAGCTCTGGAGTAGAGCTGCGGGCAGACTTTAAGATGAGGCTTAGGGAAGTGAGTTCTTGAAGAGGAGAGGTTTCAGGATGTTGATTGGTGATTGGAGTCTAGATGATTCTGACATCTGCTGATTGGGTGGATGTTCCCCCCAACAAGGTGTGGATTCTTCCGTGGGGATGGGCTCGTGGGAGGGGTTGGCCTGATGGAGGGAGAGGTGGCTGGGCAGGACCACACTGGTGTGGATTGGGACAGGTGAGGACAGGGCTAGACCAAAGGAGGAGGGACCACTTAAAGGAAGGTGGAGGGCTGGAATTTCAGGGATTGGACTGGCGGTTCTGCGCCGTTGGAGGCTCCGCCCCAGCGCTAACTCCTTGTCTCTCCTTCAGCGAGGCGGCTGCGCAGTACAACCCGGAACCCCCGGTAAGTCTTTCCTCCTGAGGCTTGTTCCTCGCTTTTCGTATAGCGAAGGCCCCTCACCCCTTCTTAGGACATTCCCCTGCCATTAAGACTGCCCATTCTGAAGCCCCCAGACCAAGCCCTGGATCTCTCAGCCTTGCCACATGTCACACTCACTTCCGGCTCCCCGACCATCCCTCTGTGACGTTCCCTCTGGGGGGTACTTGGGTCTAGGGAGCAAGGCGTGCTTCTCCATACCTGCTCTGAGATCCCCTCCCTCCGCAGCCCCCGCGAAGCCATTACTCCAACATTGAAGCCAATGAGAGTGAGGAGGTCCGGCAGTTCAGGAGACTTTTTGCTCAGCTGGCTGGAGATGTAAGTACCCTGGGACAAGCCGGAAGTTCCCATTCTCTTTTATGACATGTCCAGACCCTTTTCAGTCTCCCTTGAACTGTACTTAATCTTCTGCCTTCAGGACATGGAGGTCAGCGCCACAGAGCTCATGAACATCCTCAACAAGGTCGTGACCCGACGTGAGTGACCAAGGACAGGGCATGGGGAAGATTTAGAGGCAGAAGGGGCTGGAATGGCTGTGATCTCTGACCTTCAACTTGTTCCCCTCAGACCCTGATCTAAAAACTGATGGTTTTGGCCTTGACACATGTCGGAGCATGGTGGCTGTGATGGATGTATCCTTTTGGGGACAGTCTGGGGGAGGCCTTGGTGAAGGGGTGTGATTTTCTGAGAGTGTGTTTGGGACAGCCAGAGTGTAGCTTTTCCCTTTGAGTCTCCCTGTAGCCCTAGCTGGCCTGGGAACCCCCTTATGTAGACCAGGCTGGCCTTGGACTCTCAGATTTGTCTGCCTCTGCCTCCCCAGGACTGGGATGGGCATGCGGAACCACGCCTGGCTTTTTTTTTTCTTCTTTCTTTTTTTCTTTCTAGACTGTAGCTTTCATTCATGAGAACACATGCCTCAAGACAAATGACAATAAATAGTATCAGCTGGCACTCTAGATTGGGCTAGATGGGCACAATTACAACACTGCATTTAGTAGGGAAGGAAACAAGGCTCAGAGAGACAGAGTGGGTTTTGTCTCTGACCATACCATCCTGAATACACCTAATATCTGATTTTGGCAGCTAATAAGAGTCAGGTCTTGGATAGGAGAAAGGGTCATTTGAAGAGTAAATGGCAGGATCGGAATTTAGACTTAGGAGTTTCAGGCTTGAGGAGCTAAGCTAACAGCCATTTACATATGTCCAAGGGCACAGCTGCATGCACGGGATAATGAAGGAATGTATTCAAGAACACACATGTACATTTTTAGCCAGTCATGAGTGTATGTACACTTAGGACACAAATACACACACACACAATTCAGATTCATGTATTACACAGGGTGAAACAGTCCTAGTTCTGCTTCTTAGCCCAGATGCTGACCCTTTTTGTACCTCAATTTTCCTGTTTGTTAAATGGGACAAGTAAAGTGACTGAACTAGAGCTCTATACAAAACGTTTAGCACAATTTGTAGCCCATAGTAAATGGTGTGTATACGTTAGGTAATTAGCTGTTACTATAATCTTTCTTTCCTATGCAGATAGATTTTTCAGCTTTTTAATATTTTATTATTTTCATTTTATGTGTATACATGTATTGCCTGCATATAGGTAAGTGCACCCGTGTCGTGCGGTGCCCTCGGAGGACAGAAGAGGCTGTTGGACCCCCTGGAACTGGAGTTATGGACAGTTGTTAGCTTCCATGTGGGTGCTGGGATTCAAACCCAGGTCTTCTGCAAGAACAGTCAGTGTTCTTAACCGCTGAGCCATCTCTCCAGCCCCTTTTCAGCTTTTTAAGTTTTATTTTATTATTTATTTATTTTTGGTCTTTTTGAGACAGAATCTCTCTGTAGCCTCAGTTGGCTTGGAACTTGCTATGAAGACTAGGCTGGCCTCAAACTCACAGTGATCCGCCTGCCTCTGCCTCCCAAGTGCTGGTATTAAAGGCTTATGCCACCACACCTGACTTATTTTTTATTTTTTATTTTATTTTATTTTTTGAGACAGGATCTCCTTGTAGTCCTGCTGGCCTGGAACTTGCTATGTAGTCCAGGGTGGCTTCAAACTCACAGAGATCTGCCTGCCAATGCCTCCTGAGTACTCAGATTAAAGGCATGCATCACCACTCCCAGCTAAAATTGTTTTGTTACTCACTGTGTAGCCCTGACTGGCTTGGAACTCTGTATGTGGACCAGGCTGGCCTGATCTCACAGAGTTGCACCTGCCTCTGCCCCCAGAGTGTTGGGATTAAAGGCGTGCACCATGATACACATTGCTCCAGCTTTTTAAAAAATTATTATTCTGCATTGCATGTAAGTGCACCCGTGTTGTGCAGTGCCCACAAAGGACAGAAGAGGGCATTGAATCCCCCGGAACTGGAGTTAAGGACAGTTGTTAGCCACCATATGGGTACTGGGAACTGAACCTGTGTCCTCTGCTTGAGCAGCCAGTGGTCTTAACCACTGAGCCATTTTTCCAGTCCCTTCCCCACCTCTTTTTTTTTTTTAAGACAGGGTCTCATGTAGTACAGGCAAGCCTTGAGCTTGGTAAATAGTCTTGAACTCCTGATTCTTTCTTCCACCTCCCAAATGCTGGGGTTACAAGTGAGCACCATTGCACCTGGCTTCTGACTTTTCAGCTTTGAGTCTTGTTTCTTTTTATTTATTTATTAAATATTTATTACAGGTGTAAGTCATCATACTGGGCTGAATCTGTGTATTCTTTGGGATTAATCCTGGTAGGGCTGCTGATCTGAGAGTTTAGTGAGAGAAGGGATGTTTCCAAGAAATTCAGTATCTGGAGGGTCTTAGGTAAGCCAGTAGGTCTTGGCCATGTTTGGTATTTTGTGAGAATTCATTAAATGTCAGACTTTTAGCTAAGGACTTTATACCAGTATCATGCAGATATTTTTGGTGGTCCTAGGGATCAAACCCAGGGTCTAATGTGTGCCAGGCAAGTGTTCTGCCATTGAGGTGTAGCCCAGGCTGAACTTGAACGGAATTAGACCCTTCTGCCTCAGCAGAAGGAGTGCTAGGATTATAGGTATGAGCCTCCATGCCTGGCTTTTATGTGTGTTTGTGTGTGTGTCTGTGTTTTATGTGGTGGCCAGAAGTTGATATCAGGTATTTTCCTCTATTGTTTTTACTTTATTTTTTGAGACGGAGTCTCTCATTGAACCTGGAGTTCACTAATTTGGCCACACTAACTGACTAGCAAGCCCCAGTGATCTTTCTGTTTCTGCCTTAGTACTAAAATTACAGGCATGTACCTCCCATGCCTGGCTTGTGTGTGTGTGTGTGTGTGTGTGTGTGTGTGTGTGTGTGAGAGAGAGACAGAGAGAGAGAGAGAGAGAGAGAGAGAGAGAGAATGGGTGCTGGGAATCATACTCAGCACACTCTGGTCTTGCATAGCAAGCACTTTACCCATTGAGCCATCTCCCTAGCGCTGTTTTGTTTTGGTTTTGGTCTTTTTGAGACAAGGCCTCCCTGTAACCCCAGCTGGCCTGGAACTGGCTATGTAGACCAGGCTGGCCTTGATCTCACAGAGATCTGCCTACCTCTGCCTCCCAAGTGCTTGGGAATCACACTCAGCACACTCTGGTCTTGCATAGCAAGCACTTTACCCATTGAGCCATCTCCCTAGCTCTGTTTTGTTTTGGTTTTGGTCTTTTTGAGACAAGGCCTCCCTGTAACCCCAGCTGGCCTGGAACTGGCTATGTAGACCAGGCTGGCCTTGATCTCACAGAGATCTGCCTACCTCTGCCTCCCAAGTGCTAGCATTAAAGGGTTTTGCTGTATAGTCTAGGTTGGCATGAATTCTCAATCCTCCTGCTTCTGTCTGCTGAGTGCTGGGGTTACAGTGTAAGACTGTGTCAAAAAATATAAAAAATTTTAAAATAAAATAAATCAGGTGATATGACTAGACTTGAACAGGAGCTGTCCTGTTAGCCCAGATTCCCAGGTTTATTGTCATATACCCAGTATACATAGGACAGGTATCTGGGTATAGTTATCACACAGGTGTGTGTGTAATTGGGATTAAACCAAGGCCTCATACATGGTAGGCAGGCACTCTATCACAAGCAATATCTTCATCTTATTTATTTTTTTTTAATTTTTTCTTTTTGAGACAGGGTCTCCCTGTAGCCCCAGCTGTCCTGGAACTCACTATGTAGACCAGGCAGACCTCGAACTCACAAAGATCCGCCTGCCTCTGCTTCCCAAGTGCTGGGATTAAAGGGGTGCACCACCACGTCGGCTTATTTATTTATAGACAGGGTCTTGCTATGTAGCCTGACTGACCTTGAACTGACAGAGTGCCTCCTGCCTCTCAGTCTCCTGAGTGCTAGGATTATAGGTATATACTACCACACCCATTTTATTGTACTATGTATTATATTTTTGGTCTCTAAGATTTATGTGTGTGTAACTGAGCATATGCATACAGGTGTCTGTGAAGGCCAGAAGAGGGTATAGGATCCCCTGGAGCTGGAGTTATCCACATCGGTGCTAGAAACCAAACTCTGGTCCTGAAAGAGCAGCAAGCACTTTCTGACCCACTGTGCCATCTCTCTAGCCCCTTATTTTTGGCTTCCTTTTTAATTATTTTATTATTTTTATTTTATGTGTATAAGTGTATTGCCTGCGTATATCTAAGTGTACCCATATGGTACAGTGCCTGCAGAGGTCGGAAGAGGGGATTGGATTCCTTGGAACTGGAGTGACAGTTTTTAGCTGCCATGTGGGTGCTGGGAACTGAACCCAGGTCCTCTGCAAGAATAGCCAGTGCTCTTTAACTGTTAAGCCATCTCTCCAGCCCTATTTTTGATTTCTTGAGACAGAATCTCATATAGCCCAGGCTGACCTTGAAGTCAATATATAGTTAAGGCTGGTTTTGAACTGATCTTCCTTCCTCCACCTCTCAAGTGCTGGAATTACAGCATGTGCTACCATGCTTGAATTGGAATTGGCTTATTTTTAGTAATACCTCTGTCTCTGTCTCTGAAGAGGCCTTGATCTCACAGAGGTCTTCTGCCTCTGCCTCGTGAGTGTTGGGATTAGAGATGTGGGCCACCACACCCGGTTCTTTATTAATTGGGCTCTTTATTAATCTTTTTAATGTAGCCTATAAAATCATGGGTTCCATTAAGGCATTTTCTCATATATATATTTGTATTTTGCCACATTTTCCTTAACCTCCTGCTAGAGTGACACCACAGGCAAGCTGGGCTTTGAGGAATTCAAGTACCTCTGGAATAACATTAAAAAGTGGCAGGTGTGTGACAACCTCTTAAACCCCAGTATCCTGACCCCTAAGCCATGGGGACACCATGCTACATGATACTTAGCTGAACCATGTTTTTTTCTGTCCCAACAGGCGATATACAAACGGTTTGATGTTGACCGATCGGGGACCATCTGTAGCAGTGAACTCCCAGGGGCCTTCGAGGCTGCAGGTGGGCTCTCAGGGATTTGGCGGGCCACGGGTGGGGTGAGTAAAATTGCCCTGTTGCACTGGTCTCAGCCTGAATCGTGGGACTCAGGGTGGGCTGTATGGGCCTCACACCTGAGGGACTGATTGATTTTCAGGGTTCCACCTGAATGAACATCTCTACAATATGATCATCCGGCGCTACTCGGATGAGAGTGGGAACATGGACTTTGACAACTTCATCAGCTGCTTGGTCAGGCTGGACGCCATGTTCCGTGAGTGAAGCTCCAGCTCTTTTTGTGGGTGGGGATCTGTTCAACCTCCATTGGCCAAGGTCTTCTTTAAGCCTGACCTTAACTCGAGCAATACTAGGGGCCCTCCAGTGACAGAGCTCACAGTCCAGTGGATCTGGTCCACTGACAAGCCACAAGGCAGTGACAGCTGGGACTGGTATGGCTGGGATAGGGTAGACTAGTCAGTGCAATTGAACTGTGAAGTGAAGCCCAAGAAGTTATTCAGACCAAGGAGGAATCTGCCTCAGCCCAGGCAATCGGGGAGGGCCCCTGGAAGAAGCAGATGTGAGCAGAATCCTAGAGGATGAGGAAGACTGAATCCAGAGTGAGGGCAAGGAAGAGTGTTGCAGGCCAAGGGAATAGTCTGTGCAAAGCCCTGAGAAGAAAAAGGAAGGTGGCTCTTCTTGTTGGACTCTTAGTTCATAAGATGCTGAAGAGGAAGGTTGGAAGGAAGCTGAGGGAAGAGTGTCGGCAAGAACTAGGCAACGAGAGCTTTTTTGTTTTCTCTTCTAGAGACTGAACCAGGGTCTTGCACATTTTTAGAATTTGCTATACTACTGAACAGTATCCCAGTCCCCATGAGGGCTTTGGGGTTTGCTTTTATTAAATATTACCTGTGGTATGTGGGTGTGCCTGTGCCTGTGAGATCAGAGGACAACTTGGGGGAGTCGGAACTCCCATGGGCCTGGTGTTTTTTGTTTTTATGGATTTTTTTTTTTTTTGTCTTTTTGAGACAGGGTCTCCCTGTAGTCCCAACTGGACTAGAACTCACTATGTAGATCAGGCTGGCCTCAAACTCACAAAGATCTGCCTGCCTCTGCCTCCCAAGTGCTGGGTTTAAAGGTGTAGGCCACCACAACTGGCTTTGTTTTTTTGAGGCAAAGTCTTACTTGTGCTGCCCTGGCTGGACTGGAATTCACTATATAGACCAGGCTGGCCTCAAACTCACAGAGATCTGGCAGCCTCTAGAGTGCTGGGGTTCAAGCTGTGAGCCACCATGCCCAGCTCCTCTCTCTCTCCCTTCCTCTCCCTCTCTCTGTCTCCATCTCTGTCTCTGTCTCTTTTCTGGCCTGGTTTTTGAGGCAGGTTTTCATGTAGTTCAGGTTGACTTCAAACTCCACATGTAGCTGAGGATGACCCTGCACTCCTGATCCTCATGCCTGTGGAGCTTTTTTTTTTTTCTATCTTTTTGAGACAGGGTCTCCCTATAGCCCCAGCTGTCCTGGAACTCACTATGTAGACCAGGCTGGCCTTGAGCTCACAGAGATCCACCTGCCTCTGCCTCCCAAGTGGTGGAATTAAAGGAGTGCGCCACCATGCCCGGCCCTTTGGAGCTTTATAAGGATTAATATATTGAGTTCTTTTTAAAAATTGTTTTTTTTAATAAGTGTTTTGCCTGAATGTATGTAAGTACACCACATGTGTGCAATGCCCTGAAGAGGCCAGAAGAGAGTGTCAGATCTCCTAGAACTGGAATTATGGACAGTTGTTAGCTGCCATGTGGATGCTGGGAATCAAATCCAAGTCCTCTGGAAGAACAGCGTGAATTCTTAACTGCTGAGCCCCATCGTAC